CTGGACATACCATGACGGTTGGAAATAAACAAGCCTCTGGAGTCTGTCGCCAAGTCTGTGTGAAATAAATATAAAAGAAAACCCATTAGTATTAATTTTTGCATGTAAAAACGTGCTGTAGTATCATCGTTAGGATTCTGTTGAGGAATTTATACTGAGGTGACGATAGTGGCCATTATGTTTGCCATCATGCATTACTTCAACAATTTGAATCTCTATAAATATCATGCAATATGAAACTTAAGTGGGACGCAACTCAACAACTTGGTTCTTTAAAGAGCATCTGATATTTTGTTTTTCGTTGCCGAAATTGATAAGTAGCATGCAGTTCTGTCTAAAAATGAGTTGGATTTATAACGGAATGTGTCGTTACTTTTAGGAAATGTTTTTCAACAAACTTTCTAGGAGATTGGTGAATGAACTTCTCGCTATTAGTGAACACAAAAGTTGTATCCATCGATATATAACAAAATGAATTCGATCCTGTGAGGATTTCCTATCCCGTAAACACGATCAGGCCTAGGGTTTCGGTATCATAACAGAAACCCACTCAATTTCAAGGGTTCTCTCGAACTTTCAGATAGCAAGAGAAGATCTGGGAACGAGTTTGACACTATTTCTCTTACCGAGTACACAGGTTATTGAAGAGATCACAGGCGTAGCCATGCGGGTTCGGGAGGTATGCCACTTGTAAATCATGCTGCTGAAATACAATAACACACTCTCCGTCTCCCGTCACGGCGCAAATACCGTCCACAATGGAGCTGCAAAACAAAACAAACATTGCAAGCATTAAAAGACACGAGCTAGCATGAAGTAAACTTTGAACTCATTTATTCAGTCAAGCTAACATTTAGATCTGGCTATTATCACAATTTTTATCGCTCTTTTTTCCATTAATCTCTAAAGCATAATATTTGAATGATGATCGAGGAAAGTGCCATCTCCTGAAAAAAAAACAACACAAAACAAAGATAAACTTACTCCGAGGACTCTAGTGCCCTGCTGTACTCCTCTGCGTCGATAATAAAGAGGTGAAAGCCGTGATCGTGAAGGCCTGAAGAGAGACAGCTTTGGATAAATATAGACATCATTTTGCTTGTGCGCACATCATTATAAATTAGTTTATTAATTGTGGAAACAGTTCATGACGTAGGTATCTTTCAAACCTTCATAGACGACGCAGGGAGGCAGTGCACTCACGGGTCTCTTTGCTGCAGATTCTTCATAAGGACGAGCTAAAAAGATTGACGAAGGAAGTGAGATTTCTAATCAAAGGAACGAGGATATCAACATTGAAGGTTTTACCACCATTTAAGCTTATGACAGTAGCTCAAATCTAACACGAAAACAAGTCCAAATATAGTTACCGTAAACCTCGCATCAGGCCTTTGATAACTATAGTGTATAAAAGGGCAAAGTCATGATTTACATACCTTCGACAGTTTTTTCAAAAGCCTTAAACACCAGTTCAGGATCGGGAAACACCTTACCGCCCATTAGGTAGCTCAAAGTCGAGAATTCTTGATGAATGTTTTCAAAGATTTGGTCGCAAGAACCCTGGGATGTTAAGGGTCGCTTGCGGGCCTCGGAAACTTTCAACTTCCTAATGGGACGACGAACGCCGTATGATGGAACAAAGCGTTCTGGGCGTTTCTTTGGCAGCTGTGAAAGGAATTTTTAGCCAATTAAAGTAAGGTTTAAAACTAGTACAGTATTTAATTGAGAGTCCGAAATCTCAGGATTGCATTGATTCGCTTTACTCGGCCTGTTTTCACAAACCTGCATCGTAAGTAAGAAGATGTAGATTCCAATAAGTTTTTCAGTAAATATGAAAACTGCGCATATCAGTCGTAACCAAAAAATTAACAATTTTTTTAAAATTTATTTCGATCAGACTGTTGGTTGACAATGGCACAATCGCACGATTTGCGCGCCATCCTTTTTAAGTGCGACCGCTGACCGCTGAAGTTTTGCGTCGAAAAGAAAACCTTTAGGACTATCTTACTCAATTTCATACTTTGAACATATTTACGGAATTACAGGAATCGTTGACACATTTCCTTTTTCATTTTAAAGGCGATTGGAGCACATTTATTTTTAAGATTCCCAGTAAGTGCGAATTTTTCTTTTTAGATGGTTCTTCAACAAGTTGTGTCGGAAGACTGTACGCAAGGACTTTCCGATTTTAGACAAAGACGAATACTGCGATAACGGGACGGCGGCGGTTTAGACAGGTTTTCCTGTGTTATCAGGGCGTCTTCCACTAGCCAATTTTAAGATTGCAGTTCCACGGCAAAAGCCCGAAACCCAACCCCACTTTCCACGCGCGTCCTGTTCTGAATATTTTTTTCTGTGAACAGTATCGAAAAGGCCAAAAACTAGCAGTGGATAGAAATTTGTTCAACGAAAATAAGCCTTTTATAGAGAATACGTAAGACCCAATGCTTGCGTAAAACCGCGGTTTGCGTTAGACCTCGTGTAAATAACCGGCCCAAAGTGTATCATTTGACCCAGTTTTGAAGGTTTTTTCCTCGCATATAAGTCTTGCACTTAAATGGAATTTTAAATCTACGACTCCATCATGACATGTGGGCATTTAGTCAAGAATCTCAGTTTAGATTGATAGGCCAAGTAAATTTCTTACCGTGGGCTCAAAGGTAGGTCACGAAAGGAAAAGCAAAGTGCAAAAAGATCTACTTTCACGGTGTTTAAACTTTCTATTGTCAAGGTCACAAAGAAGTTGCTTCTTTTTTACTGATGAGGTTGCGGAAGAGATTTTAAGAGAGCCGGGTGAAATTGTGTAGAGATCGGATTTAAGAGAGAGATAGCCGAGTCAAGATTTCGTTTTCTCTTTGTGCTCCAAAAATTCAGAATATTGACCATGAATTCACCGCCGCCAATATACTAAGAGTTGAAATCAGCTGGGAAGGATGTCAAATTTTGAGCCTATCAGATCATAGGCGTAACATAAGTTTGATTTTCTTAGGGTTTTTCTTTATTTGACAAACATCAAAACGTCGAACGCTTTCCGTAAAATCGTTAACTGGATTCGTAACATGAGTATGTTACCATGGCTTCTGGTATTGAAATATAAGATCAGTCCCTGGTGCCGCGCAAGTTCAAAACCTCGATGCAAGTGTCGCGCGCGCATGATGTCACAAAGGCTAACGGTTTGTTGGAAAAAGTTGAAGGTTGCTCCGTTCAACAAAAGTGCGCATTTTTAGACGAATTTTGACTACTCTACTCAACCACTTGAAGTAAGCTCACCTTTGTCTTCTTCTGGATGCTCAAGGTACATCCCATTCTTATTCAATTTTATTTTCTACGCGAATTTTTAGCAAAACTTTCTCAAGCAACCGCAACAGAGAAATGAAGCGTCTTAGCAGCGCACGCCGCCTTTATACCCGTTGGCAAGCTTGCTGTCGACATTTAAAAATTTGAAATAAGCAACCCTGATTGGTCAACGAGGTGAGGTCGCATCTTCGCTGTTTTTTGGTAACATAGTAATCATGCTATGTCATACGTTGATCATGTGAATTTCTGTTTCGAAATACCGCCATGAGACGTTTCCAAACTGTTTCTAGTGCCACATTCGAAGGTTGCACATGAAAATCATGAAGGGGAAATAGTGCAACAAAGGCATTTTTTGTCCAGTGTTGATATTAAATCTACTGATCACACCAATCCCAACATAATGTTCGCAAAGTGTAGCCCTCAGTTTCGTTTGCGCTTTCAGGTTATAAGTGCGCAAAGCTATCGGCGGCGAAGCCTTGAGCTATAAAACCGTCGCCCCTGCATTTGCGCACACACAGCTGACAACTAAACAGGCTTGCATTTCACGGAAAAAATTTGATCGGTTTTCTGGTGAGGACAAGTTGAGGGATAAAAAACAGCATCGTTCCCTTGTTATGTGAACTCTGCGTTCGGCTTCACACGATTTTGAGTTCGATATATCTGGATGAGATATAATATTGGGAATATTTTTTTCTTTTTTTTTTTTCCTTTTTCTCGTTGAAGAAAGTCTGCGTGTTTTCAAGCTATTGTATAGGTGCGTTTGATGTCAACGTAATGTGTTAATTCACTTTAGCTTGATTATGACTGCTAGAACCACGTGCTGTACAAAGGCTTAGTACACCTTCCTGGAAGCATAAAATTTCTTTTAACCGGTCAAAAGATTTTGTAATTGAGTTTTTAAACATTGTGGCCCAAACCGTCACGGCATTTTGGTTATCAGACGCTGTAGCTCATGAAAAATACTTTCATTATATTGCAAGGTTGGATATGATATTCACCCATGGCTCATCTTTAATTGATTCGAAGTTTTGAAGTATTCAGTATTTTCAGGCGAATGAATACACCACATTAAACACTAGATGAGGGACTTATATGCTGTCAATCCATAGGTACACATATTATAGACTCTCAGATACTACCCCTGCTGTTACCGGTTCATTATACGATCCTACTCTACCGACAGACGTTCAAAATTCAAAGATTTTATTTTCTTCCTTTTTTTGTGTGTCAAGTTCTCTTGTTATTTGTTGTAATTATTATTCATTGCTCTCTTAACCATAACCCTAACTAACTTAAAATTTGAGCCACAGATATTTAATGCAATAAATTAATATGCAGCTTTTTGCAAAGTAAATGAGTAGTCGCATTACTAGGAAATATCTAGATTTGATGCTGTGAATGGAACAATCTCGTAGAATCCTCGCAAAAGCACTAAACGCGGAAGGCACTCAAGCAGGAGCCCATTGATGGGCTTCTGACTGAAGTGATTTTGATTCCTGAAATAATAGGCAAATGCTTCCTAGATAGGTTTAAAACTGTTTCTTTAACGGAATCATGGGCTGCTGATACAAACCAGAGACATTTTGATTGTTTGCAGAAAATGGCGGAAAACGGGATCAACCATCCCAAATCCATACTACCCTGACCCCTAGGGTAATTCGTAGGTTTATGTTTCCTGAACGGAATCATGGGTAGTGTTGTTAAGAAAATGGCGGAAAACAGCTTGAATCTTTTAGTAACATCTTGGAGAAAATTCGCAAGTAGTTAGAATTACGGGTGAACCTCCAGCGAGGTTCAAGAATGCCTAAACCTGAAAATAGTAAGAAACGGAAGAGAGAAAACAAGAAAGATGAAGATCTCACCAGGAAAAAGGGAAAATCGAAAGGAAACGATGAACAGACTAATCCTAGATTAGAGGTGGACAGCAACAATGTCGCCAATCTACCTTATGAAGAACAGCAACAGATTGATGATATAGATGAACAGTTGGAGGAAAATGCGGCTAGGAACAAGTTAACAACGATTAACGTGAAGAGTATTTTGCACGTAAGACTTTTGTTGTGTGATGTTTTAGGCACTGAATAGTACGTATGGTGTTTGTAATCAGCCCCGACACTTTCTCCATGTACATGTGCTACGATGAGTTTCTTTCAATGTTTTCGTTTAAGATACCTTTTCTGTTAAGTGAAAATACTGAAAAAATTGGTGCTTGGGGCAATTTGTTCCAAAGAAGATTAAGAACCTTTAACTACCATTTATTGTATTTATTGTCCATTCAAACTTAAATTAAATTTTATGACAGCTGTTGTATGAGCAGTTTGAATAAATGTAACATTGTGACCTTCAAGGTGGAATAAGTTACCCTTACTGAGATATAAACAATTTTCTCTGATTCTCGAAATTCTCTCATCTGGTTGGTTTTTATATTCATACATCTACAGCATGTTGTATCAGACAAGAGAGTGCTTGCAATGGTGAAAAGCGTGGCTGGTGAATTTGAGAAGGAGGAGAATGAAGTTACTCCAGGCAGTACTCCTGGAAACCCTGATATAGAGCTGGATTTTGTAAGAATTTGAATTAAATTTTTGTAATAGATAAGAAAAATGTCAAATTTTGTGCTTGAGATTGTAATCTTTTGGTCTTAACATGGGATAAAATAAAAGGTCTGCTTTTTATTGCATGTGAGGAATCACACCTTTAGGTTTTGGACTACATGCTTCCATGCTCTTCCCCTGAGCTACAGAGAGCTCTATAGTATTTTCTTTTTCAGATGGTAGCCTGTATACATGTAGTTTACTGCCTATAGTAGTCCTCTTATTACCACCTAAAATCACTCAACATTCCTGAACACTGGCTCCTTAAGTGACTCACATTCTCAATTATCAATTTTACTTACTCTGTCATTTTTCTTTGAACAATATTCCGTTGCCCATCCAATGAGACATGTACTGTTAAGTAGAATTACGTTACTTTCTTCCTTCATACCTACTACTTTTTAATTATTTTTATCAGGAACCAAAAATGACCAGGCTAAAGAGAAAACAGACAAACCAAGGTGATCCAATTGCTGTTTTGGTAAGATATTTGTTTAAAATTTTAAATGAAAAAGATTTTTAGTAAAAATTTTTTATATCAAGTACCATCAACAAGCAAGACTAGAGGTCTTCAAAATTAGTCTCTGAAAGCACCAATTTAGTTAATGATTTTACACCACAAGAGTCATTAGCTGATCAAACTTTGCAAACACATTTTAAGTTGAAAAGTTTGAGTTTTCTAAATTTTGGATAAAGATTGCTTTACTTGTTTGGTTCTTACCTTTCCTATTACACTCTACGTCAGGTTACATAGTCTTTTTAACACTACATCTGTACATTTCTGAACTGTTTTTCATACCCTGACATGGAACAGTTAAGTAGCTCTGGAGAATCAGAATCATGACTTACATGTAGCATGACCCTGCATCTCTTTCATATTACTTCATACACTTCTGTTACAGGCATCCCAGTCACCCATGAAAGACTTAAGAACACAGCAGATATCCAGAAAAAAGGTATGAAATACAAGTCTCATAACACCTGCTGTAAGTAGAATTATTATGGTTATCGAGGTATTTACAGGTGTATGCAATGAAAAATCAAATGCTCTTGAAAAAATACTTAGGGGCAAAGAGACTTGTTAGATACTTTTGGAAATTTCAAGCAAACTTGTTGAGCATTGCAGTCAAAGTCCTGTTTGCAAATTTAAGATATTAGCATTGTAATAAAGGTATCGTACAGTGATTGTCCAAAGGGAGGTTAGATTCTTTGTCCATGGCAATGTCATGTTTTGAAATGAATTTATTAGGTCATAATGGGTAAACACTCATAATATTAAAATAATTGTTTTGAAATAATTGTTATAACAAGGTTCTCAATGAAAAACAGTTTAAAATCATTTTAACCTGAATTCAATATTTAATATACAATAGTGGATATGCATTGAATTATCTCTTACCATTAAATTTAGAAAAAGAGTTTTGAGGTGTTATTCTCCCTAATGAGATACATTTTCCTTCAATCATTTCCAGTACCTGCAAGATAAAAAGCATCAACAGTGCAACATTGTGAAATATTGGCCAGTCTTTAAGTTGTAATCCTGTTCTATGCAGCTCTATAAAAGGGTTTTTTATTTTTAATTGAGCAAGTACACACTCGTCTGCAGAGCAGCCCCATTTCAAACTACCCAATTGTATTCAACAAATAGTTGGTTTAAAGCTGATTGGTTGCTTATAATTATTTTGTTTGGGTTTACAACATGATTGTGCTATTTTAATTCCATGAAACATTTGTCAGTTTTCTTTCTTTTTTTTTAATTATTTGTTTACAGGAGATTCATTTCACAGAGTTGGAACTTCCAGATTCATCATCTGATGAGGAATACAATCCAGAGGAGGAAGAGGTAATTGATAAAAGTGCATTTATATGTACAATCTGCAATAAATGTGTAGATGTGTAGAGATAAGTTCTTTTCTGGTGCAGGATTCTTGCACCAATATAAGCACCACTCAAATCCTGTCTAGTGGTTTATAGGCATAATGACCTACAAAAATGTTTTAATTCAAACTTTTGCATGTTCTTATGACATTCCACATAGGTTTTACAAAGTAAACCAAAAGAAAGAGTCATCTGTTGATTTGTCGATTTTCTTTCTTTTTTTTTTTTGCAGGATGGAAGTGATGAAGACACGGAAAGCTGTGTATCTTTTACAAGGTAATACTTCACATGTTTATCCTATTGCCTATCTTCTTGATAATTGTCTGGAGGACTTTTGCACATGTTTATGGCTGGAAAATTATAGGGGGTTGCTTATCAATAACCAAAAGCAGCTTCTCCTGGTTGTCAGCATGTGGTCAATTCTGACCCTTTCACTCTCAGGATCAAAGTGTTTATTCTTAGCACTGTCTAGCATTTATTGTTGAAAAATTCCATTTCAATCAACCTTGGGAATAAAAGGGCTAAAACAGGTACATCAGAATACTCTGAGTCATATTCAGTGACATGTTCTAACTGCCTTGAAGGAGTCTGCAAAATAATTATTTACTGAGGGGAAAATATACTGATTAGTTAATTCATAATAAAAATAATGATAGTAATAATATTATTGTCAAATTATTGTTATGGATGATAATTATATTACTGTAGCCAAGTTGGAAACAGGATGGCCAAGAATAGAATAGATTTTAAAGTGACGAAAAAAAAACTTGAGAAATTTAAATAGGATTAAAAAAACATTATCAGTTGTAGCTTTAGAAAGTTGTTTGTTATCTTTATTTTTTAGTGACATTGCCTCACCTCAGTTACCAAGCACACCAGAAAGGCAAAAAACAGATGATACAAAGGACAATAACAAACAATCAGGGAAAACAGGTAACACTTTTTAACTTTATACTGAAAGTATAAATCATAACTTAACACCAAGTTGTATGAAGTTAAACAAGTTTGAATTTATGCAATAATTCCATGAATGATATGATTGTTGGTGGCTTTTTTAGAAGGTGGACACACAAAAACTTTTTTCATTTACTAATAACAACTTGTCCCTTTGTGTGTGGTTGTTTTATTACCCTCACTAACTCTGATGCCAACCATGTATATTCCTTTTCCATATCAGTGACAAGATCACTAAGTAAAAAGCTTTCAGAGGAACCATTCAAAGTTCCTTATCCAGTGGCAGCAACTAACTCAGCTCCACCTGATGAAGTATGTGATTCTGTTGGACTTATAAACATAATTTTTTTCACTGTATTTATATGTACACTGTAGGTCAAAATTGTACATGTAACACTGATTTTATTGTCCAGCTCTATCTGCTGAGGCAATCCTTAATTCTATACACGTGAACAGCAGGGTGAAATAGATATTTTACAATCATGTTTAGAAATTTGATTTAAAGTATGCATACCACTCCTTTTGCTTAAATACTAGATGAAGGTAGATGAATTATAAGGAAGATTAAATCAGGTCATTGTAGCTGTTTTCCTAACTGGATGTGGGGAACCTAAGGGAGGTTTATAGGGGCATTGTCAAGTACTTTTGCTAACTTGCATGGAGGTGAGCTGTGATTTGGTTGCTTTGGCAGCCTTCTTTTTGCAGAGGAGATTGTTGCCCTAACCCCCCCATCTCCTCTATCACTTTTCAATCACAACTCTGTCACTTTTGGTGCTAACCCTGGCTTGGTTCAATTTTTATATGACATACATGAAGGCCTAAGCTATCCATTTTTGGACGTTAGTCAACTGTTTTAAATTTTTTGTCATCCATTTAAGCGGTTATGGAAACCGTTTAAATGCTTGAGTTAGCTGTTTGGTACCCATTTAAAACCATTTTTCTAGACCATTCAACAGAAAAGCATTTATGTCTGTTTTCCCATGGAGGGTCACATGTAACCACATGGGCTAAGGGAAAATTAAGGATTAATTTTGCATGAAATTTGCATGAAATTTGCATGAAAATTCATGCATGAAATTCCAAGTGAAATTAATCCTTAATTGCTCGAGGACACTTACGATGAAGCCCTTTCAAATGCCACCACAAATGTCAAACAAACATAACTGACTAATAGATTCAATGAACATTTTATTCTCAAAATACAGTTTACAACATTACACAGCTTTATTCAGTTAAATTACAATCAATGAATTATGCCTTCTGTCTCACTGAATCAGCATTCAGTAATTTTGTGATAAGTTGTGTTGCCAGCCAAGTTTACTTTCTTTCTCTTCCTTCTGTCTCAAGGAGATTATTGTTTTGGAAGAAGGTGACTTGATAGCCAAAAGAACTCGCTCCCAGCTCCCACTCGAGGACATCCCCCTTGAAAAAATTGAAGGTAATGCGTTAGGGCTGAATTTGCTCATTTGAATGTCTTGTTCAGTTAACAGAGACTGATTGACTGATGGTCTTCTGTTGTCATTGACAGCGACATTTCAGCCACCAGACTTCACTGCTGATATGTATGACACAATCAAGGAAGATGATTTGGACTTTGAAGATATAGAATGGCAGAAATGGCTTCAAGGACTAATAAACTCAGGTACAGTTCCTATACATGCCAGTTGTGTTTCTCAAAATACAAACTTAAATGTATGTTTACATGGAGTACTTTTATTAGTTTCAAATAAATACTTAGGCTTTGAGCACCGGCCAGAAACTTTTGGCATGTTCTCTATGTGAATGTGCTTGTCCTGTTTGGAATCTGCATGAAACAAATCCTTTTGACAAGCTCAAAATTGTCCAATGTATTGTAACAAGAAGGAGCCTGGTAAATGTGGAAAGGCTTAAATCTCCTTTTTAACCTTTGTCAATTCTTCATGCAAAATTCTGAGTTTAGTTTAATAACATCTTATAGATATGAAGGGGATGTGCCTGTCAATTATGCATTTATTTGATTGAAGATCTTTCCCAGTTTAAAGCAAAGCAGGACCATTTTCAGGCTTTTAGGACAGCTCTTTTTTGTGCCATAATGTTATCAATCCCAGACCAGAGAAGTGAATGTTTGGGAAAGGGAGAATGAGTGGGTGTTATCAGTAGAAGAGGTCAAAAACAACATTTATGATGTTTTTGTTTTTCTTTCCATTTTAATTTCCCAGATGAAGTCTGTGGTGAAGAGGATCATGAAGACTCTGAATACAACTTTATGGCTGAAGATCAAAAAGAAGAAAAAGAGGAATATAGAAATGACAGGGCTGTCAGAATTCCGCGTAAGTGATGTTCAAGCTTCTCCCTTCATAAACCTTCCTTTAAATTTGTTTAATTGAAAATAAAATGAAAAAAAAGTACTGAGTTATTGGAAGATGGGCAGGAAGACTTAAATAGATGACTGAAATAAATGACTTAAAGAAGAGGGGATAGAATGTTTTCTTACTCATTTTCACCATGGTTCATACAATTTGGTTTGTTAAAGGAAAACATTAGAATTGGAGCAATTTATTAAATAGTAGTAAGTAAAGGTAATAGGACTTAGTGGAGTCCAATTCAGTCTGTAATCATACTATTGATAACAAAATCAGATGACCACAAAGCTGGAGTCCAATTTGTTTATCACAAGTATGATTACAGATAAAATTGGACAACACAAAGTCTTGGTACCAATTTATCATAAAAATTGCAATTTCTGAGAAAAGAGGAATAGCCAAGTTCTGAAAGAAAGGGAAAATTTGCATTAAAAGACTGACAAAGGAGGTGTTAATTGTTTAATAGTTGTGATTGGTTGATTTAAACTACAACTTTAATGGGATTGGCTCATTGAACTGTCCAATAACAAACTGTGTGATAAAAGTTCGTGGGAAGTGAATAAGTGGAAAATAGGAGTTTTTAAAACCAATCAAAACTGAGGAAATTGTGATTTTTATGATTGAAAATGAGATTCATTGCACCAAGGTTAAGTTATCTGAAATCTAGCTTGTCGTGGATATATCTAGTAGGAAAGAGGATATGAAAACTTGTCTGCCTAGCAAGGAATTTTACTTGCCCAGGGTAATCACTTAATAGATTTTTTTTTTAAACCTTGTTCAAGAGTATATACATAGCAGGATCCTCAGAATTATTAAAACACATAGGAATAGAAGTCTTCATTTTCTTTATTTTGTTAAAATGTTGATTTTTAAATGTTAGTGCATGTGTTTTGGTGATTTTCAGAGAAGGAAGTGAATGAACTACTTGAAGAATTGCTGAAAGATGTGAGTAAACAAGTCATGTAATATTGTAGTGCTCTAACAGGAAAATTATCAGTGACTTGAAAACAGCTGTGTGATATGTTACTAGCCAGGCCTGTAAAGTGTTTTAACTGTTGTTATTGGCATTGATACCATAAATTAAAGGAGTGGTGGAGCTCACTGTTATTTATTGGAGTTGTGCTGTGTTTTCATTTAAATCATGAATTCATTTAAAATGGCAAAATGGAAACAATCTTCTCTTCAACAAATAGACTCTATGTGGCCATGTTTCAGTGCAGAAATAGATCACAGATGACATCAAGATGTAGTAAAAACAAAAAAGTGGCCATAAGGAGCAGCCGAGTTTGACACTGATCATCTTACCACATTTTGACCTCATCTGTGATCTGTTATGCTACAGTTTCACACCTAAATGGAATCTATTTGCTTTATCTAATGAAATGCAAAATGTTGTTAATGGTGAAGTCTTGTATGGGTCTGTTCTCCAGCAGATCATAAGTACAAACCAATTAAAGCAGGTGTATAATTCAGCTTATCCTACAATGATTTATACCCCATTCTTTTATGGACTTTCTATGTGCCAATTCATTTACTCCTTAAAAGTCAGGACACATCTCCTTGATTCACTTGACTATGCATTCAGAGAGGATGTAGTTTTTTTTTTTTTTTTTCTTCTTTGAATGTATAGTATGACGAATTTGAAGATGTACGGTGTTTAGATGAGGAGGGTAAAGATATCAGTTACCTGGAACTGCTCAACGTCAGGTGAGTTTCAATTCTGACATCATTCTCTACCAATATCATTTAGTGCATTCTTATCTTCCTTTTGATTGGTGAAGAGCTCCTCGCGTGAACTGCCTTTAAACAACGTTCTGGTAATTTGTAACATCATCAGTGTTTTGGTGAAATGAAATTTTGTTCATGAGTAGTATTTTCTACCCTTTTCTTCTTTGCTACCCTAAGCAATCTGCCATCTCTTAATACTGCACTGAGATATAATTTTTGATTCATATTTGAAATTATTGAATATCTACAGGTCCTCCATTGAGGAAAATGTGAAACTACTCAATACTCAACAGTTGGAGAGACTCACCGAACAACTGCAACAGGTAGGCTCCGTTATCATGCTACTATTACATCTTGTGGAGCCAGGCTGGAGAGGCAAGGTCACTCAATTTTCCGGCAAATATTATGGGTTCACGCAGTCAGGACTGCTTCGGTTGTTTGGTGGCAAAATCAGAAGAGAAGCAACTTTGCAGAAAGGCATTCTTTCTTCGGCTCAACGGTATATTTCTAGTGCTCTAGACTATGCTTTTAGCAGAGTAATTTAGCTTTCTCAACTGAGTTGTTAACGTAACTTAGTCACCGTAAAGAGTTTCCAAGCTGACGTTTCGAGCGTTAGCCCTTCGCCATTCGCTCTGACTAAGGGCTAATACTCCAAACGTCAGCTTTGAAACTCTTTACGACGGCCAATTTACCTCATCAACTCAGTTGATAATACTAAATTACCATGTTACACTCTCCCACCGATATAGCACCTCAGTTTCTTTAGAAACTTATCCCATTTATGTTCCTAGCAGTCTTGATGCAGTCTTTAGGTGGCCAATATGTAAGTCGTGACTGAATGGTGTCGATAAGGTGCAATCTACAAATAGCTTCTGCGGCATATCTAACCTTCGTGAGGATACTTCCCAACCCCTCCCTCTCCCCCCTCCTTTGATTCCACAGAATCCAGTTCAAGACAACCCTAATGGGTTTTTATACAAATAAAGAGAATTTTAACAGTTTGTGAACAATGATTAAAGTGAGTAGTCATAGTATTTCTTTTCCCTCTGGGCCATGGCTCTGGTGGGAAAAATATGCAAAAGTTTGCTGTAACAATTTACTCTCAATTTCCTTTTTTTTTTTGAAGCATTTGCAACTCCTGACACAGATAAACCTGATGGCCCGAGAAGACGAGAGCCTGCATAAAGAGGCTGAGCTAACTCGCGAGTATGTCAACGAACTAAAAAGTTTCCAAGACAGAGCATCCAATGCACAGCTCATCAGAGGACTAGGGGATGGTGTTGTACATAACTCAGCATTTACCTTCTCAGGACTGGAGGAAGCTGTTGAGTAAGGCATTTAGTTTAAGCCTTTACCTCTTAAAAGTGGTCATATATTCCTTGTTAGGTGCCAAGGGCAGCCAGTACTAAGCTTTTAATAAGCCTGAATGTGAATGTGCATGTAATTGTGGTAGTGTAGATCTTCGTGGTAAATACGGTATAAATGTAAATAATGTAAATACGGTATAAATACAGTATGTAAATACCTTACGGTAGTACGGCACGCCTTGGATCAAATATCGGCTGATGGTTGGAGTCAAAGGTCAGGTCAGGTCAGGTCGGGTTACGAATCGGAAGGCCCTGGTTCGTGGAACTTTTCCTAGTTTCAGAAACATGAAGTGATTACTGAGGAGTACACCTACTCCCCTCTATAGGATGTCAGTCCATTACAGAGTTATACCCCAGCATTTCCTGACCGGAGGCCAAAATCTGCTGTGACACCGTTACCTGGAGCCCCTGTTCTTCAAATACCCGACAACTTAAAGTAGATTTTTCCTAGCCGGGTCTCATTCAAGATACAGAGATGAACGTTGTGCAATTCAAAGAGTAAATGCATGGTGAACATAACTTAGTAATCAGGTCAGAACTCGAACCCGGTCCTTTGCAGCCAGTGTGAAGTGCACTGACCGCTGGGTCACTGCAGTTATTTTATACAAATTTTTCTTAAGTGAGCAAGGGATGGGTAATGCGTTTAGGAAGAGTAAAGAGGAGGTTAAAGTAGTGAGGAACATTTGGTTTTCAGAAAGGGAAAGTGTAACATTTTGCAACCTGAGTTGTTGATGTGAAGTAAAATCAACTTTTTTCCTACTATCTTCCGTAAGGATTGCAGCAATGATAGTGAAATGAACTCAACATGTTAATTGTTGCAGAATTGTTAACAGCGCCTATGTTACAAAGCGAAGAACCCCAAGTCCTCGAAAATGTAACGTACCCAAAAAAGACGGCAAAGCTGCTGCCAAGAAAGCTAAACGCTCGAAACTTCTCACGGACGATCTTCTCCCATCGCCATCGGATACCAACATCCAGATGATGGCCACTTTTAAAAGTGTGTTCCGTTTTATTGAGCTTCTTCCTCATCATAACCTGTTACCAAGAACGGGTGACACGCCTAAGCAGCTGAATGGACTCAGGGTGAAGTTCTCTGACGCTGAAGACAACCTTTTGGCTCTGGGTATGAAGCAACATGGTAAAAGGTGGGAGCTTATCCAAGAACACCTGCTGCCAGTCAAGAGTCCTAAACAACTGCAGATACGCTGCAAAAATCTGCTGTCAGCCCGTGCTCCAGAGAACATTGTCAAGTACTACCGTAGAAACAAAGTGCTGTGGGAATTGCCAGTTAAAATCAAAGTGTCTTCAGGTAAAACTGAGGGTCATTCCGTAATAATGTTTTGCACATCTTTGCTGCGCATATTTTCGCACGCAAAGCTCGACTTTTCTCAAAGTCTTGGCGACCTAAATCATAACATGGACGCCAAGAAAAAACACTCGTTGAAACTCGTAGTAGAAGAATGGCGAATTTCTAACTTCTTGCGGGTATGTTGTAGTTGGCATGATAATCTCTCTGCGCAAGGTAGGTCGAACGTGGTTTGTGGATCATTGCTGTTAGACTCTTACTTATCCTCGTTCCTTTCGGGAAATTTCCAATTGAATGTCAAAGGTATGCAACCCAACAGAACACAGTGACCCGGGCCGAGGCTGGAACCCAGACCTTTCAGTCCATAGTCCAGCGCGCTAACCATTGGGTCACGTCCTTTGCGTTTCCCATAATTCCACTAGTAACACTGACTGCAATATGAATTGTTAGAAATTATTTTTTCAGAATCTAGCAGCCGTCGACCGCGTGGGAGGGAGTCAATGGAGCCTGAATGGCTGATTAATTATAAAAAGAAGCAGAAGGAGCGGCGTGAAAGTCAAGAAAGGAGAGAGGCCCTGGCCATTCAGCAGAGCCTGGAGGGTGCAGCTTATGGCCGACCAATTGCACCTAAACTCACCGGAGGAACGTGTGCTTTGGCGTTGCCGACTGTCTCGCCTACTGGAGAGCAGGGGAAGGTGACTTGGGTGGCTGTACCAAGAAGTGTCAGCCCATGGAATGTAGTGACGCAAATGAAACCACTTGAAGATGTGTCTAAAGGTGGAGATTCTTTGCCTGAACCCAACGTGATAAGTGCTTGTACATCTCCAGACGTTAGGTAGGTTGTGTAATTGATAAGATCTATTATTCCTTTTAGTATCCCAAGAGCTTTTCTGAGTAAAACATTGTAGTAATGATTAGTGGAAGATTTGTCTGTATTCTTAACTGATGGTTTTGTTTAGGTCGAGGATGCGTTTGTCCTCACATTTTTCATGGTAGTTACCTCATTGTTTCCGGTCTGATAGAGCATCGAGACTAGCGTGGAATCACTTTTGTTCAAAGCCGTTGACCCACTAGGCGACTTTTTTCTTGCCGATTGCGGCGGTCGGCGAAATTAACCAAGTGCACGCGGTACAGAGAGAGCATAGAGCTTCCCTTACCAGACATACCATATAACGGCGATTTTTAGACGCCTTGCCCGTTCCGGCGATGTTCCATCCAGTGAGATTACTCAAGGTTTAGGAGTTACGACACTCAATCAAAAGGCGTTCAACTACAGTGAAACCATTCATCTGATGATCCCAACTGAAATGAGTAATTTTGTTTGTGTCCGGGTTATGTTTGGACTCTGTGCTTTTACTGCAATTGACTCTTCATTTATTTTGGTCTTTTTCTACAATCTCGTAGTCAGGTTGGTATTACATTTATGTATTTTATCGATTTTATTGTAGTATCTGCCATGAGAGTGTCAGTCAAACAATTGAGAATCATGCGCCATCACCAGCTGTAACAGAAGAAGCAGAAGCCGCTGATGATGTCATGAAAACCACCTCACCAGTGAACGAGGAAACTGTTGAACAAACACAAGGCATAGCAGGACAAGGAACAAGTGTTCCTTCTGTAGAACGTGATCTTCAGTCTGCGAGTAACACTACGATTGTGAAAGAGACTAATGAAAGTAACAAAGAGAATGTCTTGAAGGAATCAACGGATAAGGCAATTTCGGAGACTGCCACTAACAAGCCTGCTACAACGTCCAAGAACAAGACATCGCGTGACAAAAACGGAGGTGGTGTGACTGGTAGTCGTGTGACGTCAAAGTCACACATCTCTGGGTCTGAGAGCGGAGGAAATTCAGTTGGAACGTCGCGTAAACCCACTCCAAATTCACAAGCGAGCTTGGCGGGAAATTATATTCTGGAACCTGATCCAAAGGTAAAAATAGCACAGATAATGTCGTGTTTACTTTGTATACGTAAATCTTCCATGCAAGGGTTGCACGGGAAGATTTACCAATGGGATGCTCGCACCAAATAGTTCTCGTTTGAAATTCTTCCTCAGTGTTTATTTTATCCCACAATAGATTTGTTCAAGAGAGCAACAGATCGTAGGCGAGAACACTGATGATTTTTTTGGAGGTCTTTTAGCCGTGGAATGAGCAGGATGTACTTTTCTATGTCCTAACTTATGTGAGTTTTATTTTCTTATTATTTCAGGTCATAAACCGAGCACATGCATTTGCGGAAAACTTTTTAGCCAAAGTTAAGGTAAGATTGAAAGGATTTAGAATCCTCAGTTTCATACGACGTATTCCTCTCACCCTTTACACTCTAACTTCAGTATGCGTATTCTCCATAATATTCTCTATATATTTTCCTAACCTGCTGACAAGGAGAATTTGGTTAACAATCAAGTACTTCTTTATTTGGTGATCATCTCCTTTATTCTCTTGACCTCAATGTTCGATTCAGGGGTGATACTGATGGGAGAAATTAGATGCTTATCACTCTTAGGGGTTAAAGGGTTAAGCTTGATTTTGATATCGCTTATGAAGAAAATGTCGCTGTCTTTGTAATTTTTCTCCCATACAACAGGCGATAGAACTCTCTTCTTTGTTTATTTTAGAAACAGCTCGTGGATGATTCTGCAACTTATGAGGAATTCCTTCGGACACTTGCGACGTCTTCTGCTGAGCAATGTTCACCGGTCGAGGTATGCTTCACTGCTCATAGCTTAGCGGACAAATAACCGTGAAGCACACAAAACTGCCAGTTGCGCAGGGTATTCCATAATCAGTATCAGTCTACAGTAGTGTGAAATTGTTGAGCTGAATTTTTTCCTGTCATTTACTTTGTAATGAAAATAACCTGAATTGATCAGTAAAGGGAAAGGATATTGCTTGAATCTAAGCAACAATCAGCTTTCCTTCATTTTTGCTTGATTTTTCTCTTATCGATTTTTTCTTCCAGCTGTACAGGAGGATTGAGGTAGTGCTGGCTCAGTATCCGGGTCTTGTGGAGGATTTTGTAGGATTTCTAGAACCTCACCAAGCGGTGGAAGCAGGCGTGGTGAGTTAGATGTTTGACTTTTACCGAAAATTGACGACGTAGGCACGTCTTCGTTTATGAACAGTGTCGTCTTCATAGTTACATGTATGTTTCTTTAAGCTGCCAAGTGGGAGACATTGTGCCCCAACAGTGAACGCGCCGGGTTCTGGGTCGAGAAGTCTGGGTTCGAGTCCTGGGAGGGTCGTTTGTAAGGTTCTAGGAAGGACACTTTCTTGTCACAGTGCCTCTCTTTACCCACGAGTGTTAATGGTTACCGGCAAACTGTCAAGATAACCTGACAAACTGTCAAAGTAACCTGGCAAACTTTCAAGGTAACCTGGCAAACAGTCAAGGTAATCTGGCAAACTGTCAAAGTAACCTAGCAAACCGTTAAGGTAACCTGGCAAACCGTCAAGGTAACCTGGCAAACTGTCAGGGTAACCTCACTTGTATAAAAGTAGTATGGGCCACTTAGTTTGCGTGCACAACTTGTAGATATGAAGCGCACATTCAAACTGACTAACAACGTTTTTCGTGTGTCGTTTCGACTTATGACTATTATTTATTCGCATTGTATTATTTCCTTCTCAGTTTATGGCAAACTCGGAGTTTGTGAGGGCCAGGACATTCCTAAGGAAGTTAGAGGTATCTCTTAAGTTATATTTTCCTTTCTTGTAATTACATCTTTGTTTTGAAAATAAACCGATCTTGTAAGTAGGAATTTATTTTTCGGTCTTTCTTAGGGACATAAGGATTGAATATTCTAATTAAGTATGAAATATATTTTTTAATTTAAAGGTGCACTTCCAGCGGAGTCCTTCACAGTTCAGGAAGATCATCAACGCTTTTGATTCATGGAATAAGAAATTAGTGAAAGATCCTTTGGAGGTACATCAGAGTAAACTATTTTGCTTTGGAGATATATTTATTAACCAAACGTAGGCTACTTCGTCCATGTAAATTTTGTTTCAGTGTTCCACGTGTCTCTGCTGGCCATCATCGAAAGTCGCAGCATTCGTAGATTTTCATATCCCATGTTTCTCTTTGGGGCTCCGACCCAGTCTCTGGCCCGCAAAATTTTCATGGTGCAACAATCAACTCTGCTGTTTTCATACCGTGTATGAATAAAAGCCTGTACAGAAGCAAATCGCTGATTGTTCTTCTTTTTTCCACGATATTGTATGGACTTGCCCCTATGTTGTGTCGTGTAATATGCAACCCGGTTATTGTACACAGAGTAGAAGTGTCATGCGATGTTGTTTCTACCGTTTCAGTTACGGCAAATCATTATTCCGATGTTAAAAGGACAGGTCCACCTTATTGAAGAATTCTACTCCTTTTTTGATGACTTGAAACCGCCCGTGTGGTAAGCGATTGTATGACCTTATATTTCTGTGTAGTAAGGGATTGTATGACCCTGTATTTCCGTGTGATAAGGGATTGTATGACCCTGTATTTCCGTGTGATAAGGGATTGTATGACCCTGTATTTCCGTGTGATAAGGGATTGTATGACCCTGTATTTCCTATTTTAGACATAAAAAATACGTTGTATGCTCTTCCTTTCATTTTTATAGTTCCGACGACGATTTTGAGGAAATTGAATTTGGAAGTGGAAGTGAACCAGAGGTATAGTAAAAAGTTCGTAGACTTCAGTAAAGCCAAAAAAAAAGTATAAAATGAGAAGTAAATTGCACTGGAATTCTAATTTTGTTATTTGTAAAGTTTTCTGTAAACAGATGAGGAAGATCGACAAACGTATCAGTTAGTGGTGTGATCTTGAGTTAGAAATAAACTATTTTACATTGAAATATATAGCACTTAGAAGGGAGAATTTGAATTCAGATCTCAGGAGGGAGAACGCCTCCCCAACCATCCAGTGAAAGGATATGTGTTACTCAAGAGGACAACCTATGCCCCTCTAGGAGTGAGAATAATAACAAAGCCGTGCTTTGTTTCCTAAGGTGGATGACTTTGAGGAAGTAGTTATACCATGCTTTATGGAGCCTAAGAAAATCAAAGGCAGACCAGCCAAGGGAGACACTCAGCAAAAAAACTCGAACTCAAGAAAGGCAAGAAAGCCTTGTGCGACGGCGAAAGGAACAAAACAACAAGGAACTGTAAACAAACAAATGGGGAACAGGAACAAAGCCAGTCAAGCGAAAACTAGTAACACGGGCGGAAAGGATCTGTCAAAGGCGGAGGGTAAACATGACAATCTCACAGGGAAAATTCAAGAAGACAATGCAGCGAAAAATGTGAAGCCTTCCTCTGAAATGTCGGCAAATACAGAATCGGCTGAGGAGGGGAGTGGAATGGATGAGCAGAGAGCTGAAGTGAGCGCACTTGAAGCACCTCTTTCTGTCACCACATCACTACAATCGGAAACTAGCAACGACAGCTTCCGCGGAGAGGAAGGCAGCTCCAACAATCCCGACTCTTTAAGCCTCGAACATGATGTACAAGGCGAGCGGAGAACCTCCGATAGCGAGGAACAAGAGGATGATGGGAATTCCGACATAGAGCACGACGGGTACGAAGAGGATGACGATGACGACTTTATGTATGGTGACGATATCGATGGCGACGTCATCAAGAGTGACGTAGACGCCGAGGCAAGTGGATGCGATAGCGATGCTGCAAATGTTGTTTCTGGTGGTGCTGTGGTACCAGCTAAGAATCTTCAACGTAGTCAAGACGGACAAGTGGTCCTGCTGTGGACAAAGTGAGTAATTTCTTTTCTTTTTCAGTTTTGTCGTACTGCATTCTTTGGTTCTTAGACCTTTTAAATTTTCTTTTGGACTCAAACAAATTTGAGACTTAGGGGTTTTAGATTAAATCGCGCTTGAATATTTTTGTCCTCATCCACTCGGTTGCAAGGAGTGGTTAAAGTCGTATCAAATCTTTAATGTGATTAAGAGACAGAAAGCATCTTATCCCTCCTTTGAATTAGCATAATCTAGTCTCTGATTCATGACCAACTGGCTATCTGATTTCACCTTACATTTAGAGAGTGAAATATTAGGAATGACTGATCTTATTTTCTTCAACTTTCTTTAGGGAGGAAGACAGAGTGATATTACAGACGTGCCAAAAGATGGGTCCTAAACCTGAAACTTTCGAACGAATTGCAAAGGGATTAGAAAAGAAATCAGCAGATGAGGTGGGTGTGCGGACTGCTGGCATTTCTCGTTCACTCTTCAGCCCCTGAGGACTTAATATAGGATAAAACCACGTATTTTGTTCAAGCAGCGAAATTTCGCAGAATTTCTCACTACGTTAGAAGGAAACTCTGCACACGCTGGTTCTACAGACTTGGACTGTATACTTTCGGTTAACTTGACTTTATTCTTCACAATCCAACATTACACGTTCTGTCTTTCGACCTAACTCAATCCCATCTTTTTTGAGTTACAAAAATGCTATGTTTTATTAGCTACGGATACACACACCCAGATACGTAAGTCTGGAGTGGTAAGATAATTTAAGCTAACTTGACAAAGTTCCAGTTTTGTTTTACACATTCTTCAATGATTCGTGGCCACTAATTTTCTGTTACATCGGCTTGCTCGACAATCATAGTGTTAATCTACGCATGCGGTTTTACTAGCGACTATTTGATTAAATACATCATTGTTTAGTTTGTGAAGGCTCGATCACACGATGCCAGTTAATACTTCCTTTGACATTCCACAAATCAATGTTAGCGACAAGAAATAATAGCTTACTTAACCAACTACTAAATATACTGGAACAGGAAAACTTTCTTATGAGCACGTGCAAACCTATCACGACACGAAACATTTATCAGGAAAGAAACGAAATATTTCCAAGTTAAATTTGATTTTCCAGTGACAGTACCCGGTAACTGATGTCTTCGAAAGTAATACCGAACCATTCAAAACAAGAGCACTCAACACGGGCAATTAAAACAAACAGTTTAAGGCAATCAACAATGAATAACAAAACATCAAGAGCAATCCGCAAAATATGTAAGAATTGTATCCCAGTCCTACGCAGCCGCTCTTAGGCTCGTCACATAATTATTCGTCCCTATCACGCCTTCGTAGGGAGGAAAATTGCGTGACGAGCCTGAGAGCCTGTTCGCCTAGGAGGCTACACTACAGCAAAGTTTTCAAGTTACCACGGTATGATGACCATTTTTTTGTACTACTTGCAGGTGAAAAAGCGTTTTATGGATCTACTGAATCTCTTTAAGGCTAGCAGTGGAGAAGGAAATAGAGATTCAATAAACGAAGATTCTTGTAGTGAGGAGGAAGAAGACGATGACAGCGAAACTGTCGGTGAATCAGAAGGAGAACAGCCCCGTGACTAGCGGTGTCACACTTGTATTTAGTAACGCAATTGAGGGAGGGAACTCGTCACGCAATACGATTTTGTTGAGCTGGCAGCTATCTTCCTATGTAATGTGCAACTGAGATAAAGCTAGTGATGGGAACGTATAGTCCAACGATTGTAAGTTTGGTGAATCTGAAAGAAAATTCAAAATACTCCAAAAAAAGTCGGAAAGGGTGATGAATAGGTTTTCTTTACGGGTTTTTAAACGTATGTGCACATAGATTGAATGGGAGAATATAAATGGCCGTTTTTATGCTAGAGACGTTAAAGTTGTCTAAGACGTTAAAGTCGTCTTAGACAACTTTAACGTCTCTAGCATAAAAACGGCCAACGTGATTTTTATCTTCTGAATATCAAAGTGCAATGCTGATCATTTAAAAATAATTTGAAATTTTAAAAAAATAGGAATAGTAGCTGTAAAAAAACAAACAAAAATAAAATCACCGAGGAGAAGTGAATTTCTCTGTATAATTGTAATCCTCTGGAAGACTAGCACAACATCACTGTCAAACGAAAAGCTTGGATCTCGCACTTGCCTATTCCGATGGAATTTTTTATTTCAAAGGAATTTTCTTTAGGAGCCATCTCTGCGGATCAAGGACTATCCTTAAAACGCACCAAAAAGTGAGATACGCATAATTTTTTTTGCACGGTGAGACTTTCATCCTAAAATGTGTGGACGGGCTTGTAAATCTTCCCCGATTTACTTCAACTCCATAGATGATGGTGTTTAGAATTGGCTCTCGAGGATTCAAGGCCCATAGGATATGCGATTATCCCGTGGTAATAATCGAGAAACTTTTGTATAACAAAATTGAGAACTTCAGGAAGCTTCTCTCCTTCTCTTCCTGTGAACATGTGACAAAAAGTTCGCGAGTTCCCTACCTTTTGGACAGCGAGAAGCCATGCGCACCATTAGTAAGCGCGACGAGAGAAGTGCATTGAGAACTTTGCACAATGGACGTTTTTCAAACCCTTTCTGAGGCATTATATTAGTTTCACCATGGAACTAAAGCTTAGGAGAAATAACCAGCTGGTCACTCGTGAAGAGAGAGAGGACAAGGTGTTGCATAACAAAACCGTGTTGGGTAGGGTGGGGCATGACTTGCATTGTATTTGTTATGACACTACGCACGCGCCGTTTAGTGAAAACAAAGATGGCGAACTGATGTAATGTGAGCGTATACTTTGTGTGTGGATTTTCGCTTGTTTTCTCGTTTGTTAGTCATCAAAACCAGTCCATTCTCATTTTTATACACTGGTTAAGATTTCAGAACTATCATATAGTATACATACTGACATTTTAGTTCAATCCTTGCCTATTTAGTGAGATTGTTTCGAGAATCCTAAATTTTACATCCAGTATTGTCGTCGTTTATCAAGGCATAAACATGTTTAGAATACCCGCTTCCTTAAGATTCCTTGGAGGGAACAGTAAACAGATTTACAGTTCAAAAGGTAAGGTTTTACTTTACGGTGGTAGCGTTTAAAAGACCGTGCTTTTTCCTTGTGCGGCCTCTGAGTGTTCAATTTATTTGACAACCGGTCCATTGTACCTTTACCAAAACATATTTTGCCATTAATTTGAGCTGTTCAGCTTTTATGACGCATATGAGCGAAGACTTTCTTCGAAACTCAGGCTAACATTTAATATTATACTAAATGAGACATCACTTTGGAAGAATTTGCGTTTTAGGATAGGTCGGCTGAAGGCGCATGGTATGTGATCTCACTACATCCGCTTACTCAGTTGTTTCCACAATCCTATGATATCCATTTTGTAAACTAAGTTGAATTTTACGTGGATGTTTTCTTGGGAAAATAAAGCATTTGGGTGATTTCTTAGGCATGCGATTATTTCTTTTACTGCTCTCGCAACATTCGAATTTTACGGTCAATTATGTGACGTTTTTGTTCGCCCTTTGGACTGTAGTAGATAATAGAATTATCATTATGTAAGCGTCGTCATATGACATAACAAAAGTGAAAACAGAGCTGTTTTTTCAATCAATTCAAACGTCCTCCTTCTTTCTGTTTGAGTGCAACAGAAACCTTGAAGTGAAAATCAATTTTGTTCTGTTTTCACTCTCTTTAGCTAATTTATGCTTTATCTTTTTGTAGACTTTGTTTTGATGAGAACATTAAGTCAAACTTTCTTACAGGAATCTAGAATATTTTTAAGATTGTCTTAGAGCTTGACTGTAAACAGCATCGTGATATTGCACTTTTGTAGTGAAAAGTTCAATATTGTGTTCTGATTCTCTAAATGAAACCATTTCTAGTTGATTATTTTACTGTGGTTGATCAATTTTTAACCTTGTTGCAATTGTCTCTGGGAAACTGAGTGATAAAAGCAAGATAAATGATCTAGAAACAGAACTGAAAGTTTCAGAGAATTGTTATTTGAAATACTAGTTAAGTTTGTTTTAGTAAAATATATGTATGTTATTTGCTATCAGGGAAGTCCATATTGGGAAAAACTGTGCCTAAGGTCTCGAGTGTCCTTGGCCTATGGCCTCAGGCAGTACTCAAGACAAAGGACACAGTTTTTCCCAATACAGACCATTCCAGGCTGGTGAATAACATCTCTATTTTTTCTAAAACTTAACAAAATACTTGCTAAAAGAACCTGAATGATTTAGGGCTGTAATTATGCCAAGATCCTCTCAGATTGAACAGTTTTTTGAGAAGTGAATGGTAGTTGAAATGGAGATTGAAATTAAAGAGAGAGGCTTCACCAAAATATTTTTGTTTGTGTAACAATAAAGGTGATTTAAAAGGCTTCCAAACAAACTTCGAAACATTTTTTTGCAAGTATCTGTCACAATCTGACACATGTTAATTCGAGAGCACATAAGAAAAAAGAACACATTTACACTTTTGAAAAAATAATAACAGTACTGGTTTGGCCAACAAATTCAAGTTTGATGACTGTTACAACAATTTTTTTCAAAACATCCAATGTTCTTACAGAAAGTATTATTCACTTCCATCCATGATTGGTGTACAAAGAATGCCTCTGCAAAAATAATAAAAGCCCATATCACATGGTTATGAAATGCTCTACTTTTAAAATACTTTTTAGGTAATAATAGGACAACAATTTCTTTGTAACTTATCCCCTCATTTTCACATGAATTTGAAGAAAAATATTTCCTCTAGTTATCCAACCATTCTAAAATTGACAGAACTTTGTTTGCCATACTTTTGTCATAATAAGACTCTTGATCTCTGTGGAATTGTTTTTTACTATTTATCTAAAAGAAAGAAAATTGTGCAAATTAAATTAAACATATTTTAGGTAGAAAGCTCACTGTAAACAACTCCCTTGATCAGGAGGAATAATTTCAATGTTGTTTTGCTTGTATCAGAGGAAATGAGGTTGAATGTATTATGGTGAGTGGACAACACTTTATCGGCTGTGCTTCACAAATGATTCAATCAAATAAAACCATGTTTCTAAAAACAGTACCTGACTTATAAGACAGTGACTTAAAAGTGTTTTTTACGTTTTCAGAATGTATAAAATCGTCAACTGTCAGAAGATTGTACAATCAAGGTTTAAGAGATAGTAGACCTGTGTTTGCTGCAGTTACAAGTCTTCATAGCACAAGGCAAAGTACTTCAGGAATTTCAAACCATTGCCATGAAAGAAAATGTAGAAGGGTTTTTTCCTCAAGTAGTGGAAGCAAAGACAAGAGTGACAAAGGATCAGGAAATCAATGGAGTTGTCCAAAATGTGGAAATCCATGTACTACTGTAGAACGTAAGTTGTGGGTTACTCATTTACTTAGTCCAGGATTTCATTTTTTCACTGAACCACATGACAAAGCTTTTGAGCCACAGTCAAGAGGAGTACTTACATACTGAGACTTGAGTGTAATGGATAACCTACAATACATGTGCAAGATCTAAACAAAAAAAGAGTATTTGGTTTAATTCTTGTGCAGAAAAGTTTTTTTTCTTCCTTGCCTGGAAGTATTTTCTTAAAGGAATACTCAAAAAGTTCCCTCAAGAACAACTATAGTAGATGTCTTTTTTGGAATTTCTGCTAAACCTTCACAGGTTCAACATATGGATTGATAGACAAACTATCAGTGGGAGTTTTCTTGAACACTGCAACTCTTTTTCTGGTCTTTGAATATAAACATCAACCAGCTACAAGATTTTTTTACTCCATATTTATCTCAGTTTCGATTCCTGGACCTGTTGTCACATGTGGGTTAAGTTTGTTGTTGGTTCTAGTCCTTGCCCCAAGTGTTTTTCTCCAGATCCTCTAGTTTTCCTCCCTCCACAAAAACCAACACTGCAAATTCAAATTTGACCTGGAAATAGTGGGCAAGAAGAGCCACCTCATGAAATGTTTACTGCTAAATTTTTGATCCCATTCCTATTGATTTGTTATGAAATAAAAGTCACTATATAATTTGTTGCACTTTAATACATGCTTTTTTGTGTTTTGCAGCATCAACTCGTTTTGTACAATGTGACAAGTGTAATCACTTCTTCCTAATCTTATCGGAATCAGATTCCAAGAGATATATTCATGTTAAATATAATGATAAAGCTTCTGGAAATGAAGCAGATAAACAAAGCAAAGCTGTACAAGCACCTCCACCACCTCCCAGAAAGGTTTGTGTACTTTTATGTAGTTCCTTGATTAACCCTTAAACTCCCAGAAGTGATTAACATGTTACTTCTCCGTACATTGCACAGCAAACAGGTATTGAGAATACTCAAAGATATCAGGTAGAAGTTGTTATTTTCATCTAATCCCCAATTTTCATTATTGTTTTACAAGGAAAGTGTGGCAGCTAAGGGAAGAGGTTTTTGGGGGGGGGGAGGAGAATCATCAATCAGATCTTGGTAAATTTAGTTAAAGGGTTAAATGCATCTTAGAATTAAAGAAGACTTATTTCAATTAATTTTAAAATATGGGGCCAGAGGAGCAAGTCCAGATAATAAAAAATGCAGATTATTAACATTTGAGTGTGTTGTGTTGCTTAATCACAAAATAATTCACACAACATCGTCATATCTTCTTGCAGATCTTTGAATACTTGAACAAGTATGTAATAGGTCAAAGTTACGCCAAGAAAGTACTGTCAGTAGCTGTGTATAATCACTACAAAAGACTGTCAGTGAACTTGCCACAAGCCCAGCAATCTTCAGCACCAACAGAAGTTAAACCAGTTCCTCTCCAAAGACCATTCCCTGGCTCACCACAAGGTGATCATCCTTCTCTGTAGACTTTGGTTTTGATTTTCTTTATAGTTATCAAATGAAGCTTTTCAAAGCAGCTTACTAGCCAGGAAAATTGTTGAGGAACAGATTTGTTTTCTAGGAAATGATTGTTATTTTAAACAAATTACTAGATTTGTATTAGTCTGTTGGTTTTAAGTGTGTAGTTATTAAATTTATTCGAGGCAAGCAAAAGTGATGTCATAGTTTAGGAGAAAATTTATTGATATGTAGCACTTCAATAGTTTCTAAGTTATTGAGTGTGAGCAAAGAAATTAGACTGATAACAAAGTTCAAGTATTGCTGCAATCAAAACTTAAGAGAAACAGCAGCAAAATAATTATGAAGTGTGTATTTGTGTGCAGAATTTTCTTTGTGTGCATTCCCTCTAACCTACTTCCACTATACATTGTGTGCAATAAGTTATAATGTATAACAAACATTTCAAGAGAATGCTTTCCCTTTTCCTTTTGGATAGAGCTGCAGATGCTCATGACTCAGACATCAAACCTCAATTCTCCCTTAGGAGCAAGTGGTGTTCATTCACCAAGTCAGCTAAGAGAACAGGCAGGAAGTGACATCCTGGACTCAGATGTGGACAAAATTCAACTAGACAAGAGTAATATCTTGCTGTTAGGACCCACTGGCTCAGGTAAGGGGAACCCCCTACTCTTTCCTATGCATTCTAGCAACAAAATAAATGTAATCTTAAGATTTGTAACATTTTTCTTGAATGTGAGACAAAGGAGATACAAGTCCATTCAAATATTTAACCTTCAGCTGCTCTCCAAGAGGAATCTTTGCCATAGAATGGTGTACTGACCCTAAAAGAACTTAATAACAGGCTAAGTTGTTTCATTGCTAGATTCACATGGGACACGTGTCCTGCTTGCTGCTGACCTAGAAAGATGACACATTTTAGTTCCATTTCAAAACTTAAAGACTTTGAACATTTGTTATGAGCATGTGCCAAAAAATAAATCTCTAAAGGGAACAGGTAGATTTTAGAACTCACAGGTACCCATTGTTTTTCTTTTGTTAGGTAAAACTTTGCTTGCACAAACTATTGCTCGATGTTTGGATGTCCCCTTTGCAATCTGTGATTGTACTGCTCTGACACAAGCTGGATATGTTGGTGAGGACATTGAATCTGTCATTGCCAAACTCCTACAGGTTGGTGTAACTTATGAATTTATCAGAGTGTACTGAAATAAAAATTGGACAATTTACCATCTTCAACAGCAGTTTTATGGATTGAGTACAATTGTTTATTTTGATTTTCTCACCCTTCACAGGAGGCTGGTAACAGCGTGGATAGAGCACAGCAAGGTACTAGCTTATTTAAAATAACTGTAATTAACTTGCAACTACAGACATGTTAACCTTTGAATTGAAGGACACAATGTCCAAGTCTAACTTGTTGGGTAATAGATCCTCACCTAATGAATAACCAAAGATGTAAATAGTAAATTCTCAGGAAATTAATGAATAAGCTGAAGGAAAGATGGGGTAATTTAGTATGTCTTCACACTGAAAAAGGGTCAACACTCAAAAAATGTCAGCTTTCAAACTCTTTACAAAGGCCAATTTACTAAATTACATTGTTATACACTCCCACTGATGCAGCATTGCAGTTTGTTTAGAAACTTACCCCCTTTATACAGCCTTTGGAACAGTCAGTATATTTGTGTTTTCAAGGTGAAGCTGAACAAGCCACTCACCCAAGAATATTTCAATTAATGAAAATTTTCAGCATAGACTAGTTCTCAAATATCATTGGCTAGTAACATTTGGTACTGAATTTTCATTGGTTATGGAGCTGTGTGATCTGATGTGTCCAATTATGAACAATTTTGGCGGTGCTTTTAAATTCAAACAAAATGATACATGAGGACTCTTTCAAACCAATTAGATATCAGCATCTTGTTATTGTAACTCAATGCTCTTTAACCTTTGCACTTGTTTCTATCAGGAATTGTGTTCTTGGATGAAGTGGACAAAATCAGTTGTGTACCAGGTGTGCACAATCTTCGAGATGTTGGTGGTGAAGGTGTACAGCAGGTAACTGAGACTCCTTCAAAGTAAAAATTCATTTTTTGCATTTGGATCAAGGGAAAATTCAGACCATTAAGTTGTTCAAGTGATAGAGTAGGTGTGAACGTGTTGGTGATCACCAACCCAAGGGTGTATTTCAGGTTCAAAGTGACAGGAAAGACTAAATGTGGACAAACAAAGAGAAAAATGTCACTCAAGAAAATACCAAGATACTCAATATTTCATATTTGCAATGTAAATAATGAAAAAAAATAAGTCCATCTGAATTCTTGAAATATTTTATATGGAAAGAAAGTGTCTCCTGAAAGAAGTCACCCAGTTTACTTGCGATAAAAAACCCAAATTTTTCATATCCGAAAAAATCCTAAACCAAAGAGAACCCTGGTATCATGGCGTAACTTAAGGTATTTACAAGTCAAAAACATTTTTAAATTCGATATGGAGCAAAGGGGCCACGCTCTTATATCGTAGAAGTCTCCATGTGTCATGTCCAATCTTAAATATTTTCAGTTGAGCCACCATCGAGATCCATAACGTCTTCTTCGCGCTTTTTTCCTTTAGCCAAGCTGGCTTTTTGAGGAGGGCTTTGACGTTCTTATCTGTTTAATTGTTAACAAGCTCGGACAGTTTTAGATAGGAATGATCGATTTATATTTTAAAATTATTTTGTTTGTAGGGTTTGTTGAAGATCCTTGAAGGGACGGTGGTAAATGTCCCAGAGAGAAACTCACGAAAGATGCGCGGGGACAGTGTAGCTGTGGATACCACGAACATATTGTTTGTAGCATCTGGAGCATTCAATGGACTGGATCGAATTATCAAGAAGAGAAATCAAGAGAAGGTAATTATTATTAATGTTGACCGAAACTTTCAACAACTACCCAAGCAATATACCGAAATAAAAAGATTGCTCAACATCCTCTGCATTTGTCATGTTTCCTCGTGTGTTTAAATGCGCGAAAAACTTTGTTTGATACTTTATTACCAACGAAAAAATTATTTTTTCTTTCTTCTTATTGCACAATTTCCAATTTGATCCGAATACATATTACTACCGGCTCTGTTTGTTCTGATAGTGAATAGGATAAAAAAAAGTCTCGAAAAGGGTAAGATTTAGTTCCACAGGATCATAGCCAAATGCATAGCAACATAGTCATTGTACCAAAGCAAAAATGGCTCCAAAGATAAGATAACATTATTAGTAAGTATGCTAATATTTGAGCAAGCGTTGTGGAGAAGAAAAAGAACTTCTTCGGGTTAGTTAAGGTTGCAGTTGAGGTAAGCATGTTACAATTTTAATTTTCCCTTCTGTTGAGAATTTTTTGTTGTTGTTAATCGTAAAAAACGATATTAATCTGTTGGTACTGTTACTCCAGGTGATCGGGTTTGGAGCACCCACCAGCGATCGTGGTTCTAAAGGAAAAGAGCTTGACATCTTCAAGAATTACCAGCCTGATGTTAGAGATGATAACGCCGAGCGGGACAAGTTGCTCAGTAAGGTGGAGGCGCGGGATCTGGTTGAGTTCGGGATGATACCCGAATTTGTGGGTCGACTTCCTGTGGTGGTCAGTTTACACTCTTTGGATGAGGAATCGCTTGTGAAGATACTGACTGAACCTAGAAACGCTCTGGTACCACAGTACCAAGCACTGTTTAACATGGACAAGGTATGACCTCGATATCAGATCCTTTTTTCAGTTTTCCTAACGAGCCTTGATCCGGCCCTTTCTGTGACATGAATTAATCTTTTATTTTATCTCCCCCTTGAATGCTAAAATTGACCCTCTCCCCCGGTAGTATTTTTTTCGGGTCGTACCCACAACAAAGAAACGAGATCGTCATAGTGTCTTTCGTGAAGTCACCTAGCTTACCCGCCAGACCATCCTGTCTCCGGCAGCTCTCTTCAACTTGGCGCTTCGGTGTTAAACGTGTGTTATCCAACCTCCATTTGAGAAAATTTACCATTTACTTACAGGTTTATTCCCAAATTGTGCATGATAGTTTAAAATGGTGGTATGTTTGTGCCAGGGATTTTCTGTTAACTGAGAGTGTCTTTCCTAGGTTGAACTAAACCTCAGTCCAGATGCCTTGAAGTTAATCGCTAACAAAGCTTTGGAAAAGAAGACGGGAGCACGTGGTCTGAGAGCCATACTGGTAAGGACATGATCAATGAATCGACAGGTAGAACTCTCACTGACGTAGAATCAGAATACCAGAGTAATGTGATCTAAATGGTTCATCAGAGAGCTAAGGTAACTCTCTCAAGGAGTCAACGAGAATTAACGATTAAAACAGGAGCGCGGCAACACGCGACTGACTAATTCATGGTTTTACCTCCGGACGTGGAGAGGGTTGTGGATATTTTTTGGAACATTTACAGGGTGAAGCAAGGCAAAGCCGCCGCAAACTTAGATTACTTTTAACATTCAATACTGAAAATTTGCTCTGTTAAATAATTCCGTCTGTTGTACCTCTCGTGGATTCTACCGATCAGTAAAAGATAACCCAGTGTCACCAAAGGAAGGGTTCTTTCTCGCCATTTTTGTTTTGTTGTCGTTTTGGTGTAGATTCTTTCCAAAAATATTTTTAAGAGAAATATTAGATCAATATATGCAATTTTATTAATGATTTTTTAAAGGTTTTATTAATGCGTAGTTTTAATCTTCTAGGAGAATTTGCTATTAGACCCCATGTTTGATACACCTGGCTCTAACATCCGGACAGTTTATATAGATGAACACGTGGTCGATGGAAGTAAAAAAGCTGAATACGTCTTGGCCCCTGAAGAAGAGGCCCCTAATGCCGAAGCGAATGAGGAACAAGAAGAAATATATGCTGGGGACGTCAGTTCAAGGGCATAAAAATAACAAAATGAACGTTCAACATTGACTGTATGGACCATCAACAGTTAACTTCCAAGATTGTTACACCCATCGTTCTTCCGGCAGGAAAATGTTTATAGCGCTTGAAGAGATTTTCAACGAGAAACGAAGACATAAGAAAAACGCGCGATACTGGGGAAACATCTACTTGGCACTTTTATGAATAGTCCAATATCGTATTTACTGCTTGGAAAATTATTGTCTTTGTTGTCTTTTTCTGATATCAGTTTTTAATATGGTGTTACCCGTCTGAAGTTAGGGCTGTTGTTTTGTTTTTGTTTTATGTTTTTTTTGCGCGAAAACATAAGATCGTCGTTTTAATAGTCATGTAATTTTTGGGTTCAATGAGAGAATCTCTTTTACTGTACAAAACCTCGTGATTTCATAGCTGAATGTAAAATATCTCACTACTATTTGACCCGCATTAAATTCTCTTTGACCAACATCTAATTTTTCTCGGGTTGTACAGTAGAATTGTCTATACTTGCATAGAATCCCAATAGACTAAAAAACCTTTTAACCCTTTAACCCCATAGTGTGATTATCATCTAATTTCTCCTTACAGTATCAACCTTGAATCACACATAAAGGTCACGAGAAAAAAAGAAATGATCACCAACTAAAGAAACTCTTGATTTTTAAATTCTCCTTGTCAGCAACATGAAAAATTTTCAGAGAACAGTATGGAGAATAAGCAAACTGACCTTAGGGTGTAAAGGTTTAAGAGTTTTTTAGAGAGGGTTTCATGCAAACAAAGGTGTAATGCACGATGTAGATTGATTTAACCCTTTTGTCCCGAATAATGAGAAGCATCTTATTTCTCCTAACAATATCACCCTAAACCAAACACTAAAGTCACAAATAAAGGAAATAATCACCAACTAAAGAACTATACAGAAAATAGTATGGAGAATATTTATACTGATATTTGAGTGCAAAGGATAACTAGCGTTCCATGACTTTATACTCCACTGCTAAAACTCTGAAAATCTTTTGTTTCCCTAGGAATGTTCCCTTATTTTTAAAGTTAACGCCGATAGTGCAGACGTTGGCAAATGGCAATGCATGAAAAACAGCTTTTATTTCTCGTTTGAGATATTCTTAATGATCATGCTAGACGTGGCTTGATGAAGGCGATAAACCACAATCTAAAACAATTATTTGTCTCAAACAGGATAGAAAAACTACGAATTTTTATTGCAGGACCCGGCGACACGACATTACGCCAGATGCCCCCTCCCCCAACCCCCTTCGCACCCACAAGGTCTTGCTTTCCATGTCACCTAGGGAAGAAAAAAGTTGCTTTTTAATGAAGCAGATGAAAAAATTTGTTTCAAAGATCACAAGCACAGTCTTTTTGGGCTTCAAATTTGTCGATGATGTCTGTGAATCTTCTTCCGCTTCGCAGCTCGGTAAATATTCATCAATAACCACCTCTACTTCGGTGAACTAGAGAGAAAATGTTGGGTCAGATGCATGTTTTGGAAATTTGTCATATATTGCAAATGAAAATAAGTGAAACGCTCCATGTAGAGTTTTGTGAAGAAGTGAAGTTGTAACAAGGTCGAGGTGAACTGGTGACGAAAAGTGTTGCACCACAGACTGCAACATTGCATTATGGGAAGGTCTCTCAAGCATGGCTGACAAACCTCTCGAACGTGTGTAACAAATTCGTTACCCAAACAGTGAAGATTTCGAGTTTCTTTTATACCAACAACGATTTATTACAATAAGAAAAAGAAGATACAGCCATGGTGAGTACTACAGCTTTATATACTGGCCTTTAAGAACATTGTTTTTTCTGTATTATTCCATTTGAATTTGCCCTATGAAGACAAAGTTGTGGGGACGTTGATAAGGTTGAAATGATACGATCGATCTTGGATCAAAGAGCTAACGAATATGCTCATAATTTCAGCCGCAAAACGAATATGTTGAACAGTCTCGGAAACGCCGTGGATACAGACTCGATCACTTCGAGAAGAAGTAAGTGCGACAGAGAAAGAGAGAGACAGACAGAGACAGAGAGATAAAACAGCTGAGTTGTACAGAGGACAATTCAGATTAAAATCGAAATAGATAGATAAATTTCACCGTGGAAATATAAACAGGGAGAGAGTTTTAATTATTCAAATAGCAGGGCCAATCTGGTAATTGATTCCAATAGAATGTAGTTTCATGAAGTATTGATGAGGAGTTCAAATCACGTAGGCACAAATTCATGTAGTCTTTGTTCTTTTATCAGTCAGTAGATCACCGTTGTTTGGTTGATTTTTCAGCGAACTGTTATTTACGGTAACGAATGACACTAACATTTGAGTAACTTTGCATATTTTAGGCGTAAAAAAGAAAGTCGTGAACCACATACTCATGCAAAGTATGCCCACAAACTCCATGGCCTCAAGTAAGTTGAATGTTCATGTTACTTCATTAACTGTTTGAAAAGGTTGAATAATCCTCTCTGGACTGGTGATCCATTGCCCCATTGCCCTACTTTATCCCAGTTGCCATAGTGTGAAGCAACTTAGAATATTCCTATTCCTCTCTGGTAGGATGCCATTTCATTATGAATGCTTCTCCTCCTTTCCCCTGGGCACTTTGTCATGATTTCCTGACAGTTCCTTGGTGCACATCTATATTCCTGTAAGGTGTTTGTTAGGAATTAGAGGGCGTGGTACACTTTTGTGTAAGATGCAGCTTAAATTAGCAACACCACTCATTTGGTTAAACACAGAAAACAGCAAATTTTAATTCTGATGATGTGTATTGTTGCCCCTTTTCAAAGTTTGAGATTGTTCTTTCTCTTTGACAGGGCCAAGATGTATAATGAAAAGCGCCGCCTTGAAAAAATACAGATGAAAAAGACGTAAGGGGATGCTCATCAATAACATGTTTTGTTGCACTTGTTTTTCTTTGCCATATTATTATATAGATAGTGTGATTCTTTGATGTTATCTTAATGATTTCAATATTTAACAGACTAAGAATGCATGAAGAACGTCAGACAAAGACAAAAGACAGCCAAAATGTACCAGAAGGTGCAGTCCCTGCATATCTGTTGGACAGAGAAGGGCAATCACGAGCAAAGGTGCTCAGTAATATGATCAAACAAAAGAGAAAGGAGAAAGCGGTAAGTTGTGTTAACTTTACAGCTCACTAGTAGAGCATGCAAATAAATGATCTGATCATAAAGCCACAAGTTAGAATCCTTGGGCAAATTATGTGAAAGACAGATTGTGAAAATTCTGGATTAGAAGCCAGGGTCAGGCAGAACAGCACATTTCAGTGTTGTTTTACTTGAGTGTAAGGAAAAATGGAAGGAAAGAAAAAGTTAACATTGAAACTCTCTTCAAAGACATCAAACTCAACCATGTTTTTCAACAGCCAGCCTTAGAATTTCTTTCTCTTCCTCTCTTTCATTTGTAAACCTGTTTCTCCAACAGGAAAATATAATCTCTCCAAGTGTATTGGAAATTTATTCAACTGGTATCATTAACAGCACATGAAATTCTATGTAATTAATCAAACTGCAATACTATTTGCTTGTCATTAGGGAAAATGGGATGTACCACTTCCTAAAGTAAAAGCTGTTGGGGAAGATGAAGTTTTCAAAATTGTCAAAACAGGGAGGTCCAAAAGTAAGTTTTCGAGCTGTTAAATGCTACCTGTACTGAATTTAAACACATTTATTCATGATAATGGTGCCCAGGAAAATTTAACCATGCAAAAGTTAGATAATGTGATCAAGTCGTGGATAAATTGGCTCTTTTGGCCAATGGAACCCCTTAAGCAGCTGTATCAATGTGTATGCCATGTGCCACATCTTTTTCATTTCAAATCTGGGAGGGTTGGTATAAGTTGCTTCAAACATGTCAGAGTTTGGTCAACCTAAACTTGAGTTACCCCGTACATCTTTGAGGCTGCTAACAGAGAAAAAAAAGTCGTAAGGTATGTTGTGGAGGCATGCCAGATATTGAAATCCCATCAGGAAAATGTCATCAATGTACATGTACGTGAAATAGTGGTCATTGTATAAGCATATTTTTGTATATTACCACAAATCAATGGTCTCATTATCTCAGGGGAAGGTATTTTGTGTTTTTGTAAGATTGTGTTTTTTTTTTCTTTTAGAAAAAGCATGGAAGAGGATGGTAACCAAGGTCTGTTATGTTGGAGAAGGGTTTACAAGGAAACCCCCAAAGTATGAGAGGTTTATCAGACCAATGGTGAGATCTTCTTTCTTAAAAAATGCCAGTATGCATTGACTCATTTATAACGCCTGTATGCATAGCCTTACAGGGCGTAAAATTGCGCCTAATGCAGGCGCCAATGCGACTAAATTTTTTACTTTGGTGACCAAATCCTGAAAATTTGTTGCCAAATTGGTGACTAGAATGCTTCATCATATCCTTACTTAGAGATATAGAGAATTAAAAAGACCTGCAAAGATAAATCCACCGCAAACTTCCTCGTTAAGTTTGTTTCCAAAAAGCAGCACATGCATCTCGATCGATAACTAGACACCATCTTGAATTAAAGTGAGCTTGAATGTTGAACATTATCATCCATTCTACTGTCCACATTGTAGCATGATAAAGATCTTTTTCCTGATTTAATTTTGAAGGGTCTATCTAGAATGCTGGCAGCATTAAAAAAAGGTTTTGTCTGTCTTTATAAATGGCGACCAACTTTTTTGGAATTGGCTACCACTTTGAATAATTTAGGAGCCAAGTGGCTATCAGAAAAAAAAATTAATTTCACGCCTTGCCTTACCTGTACACTGTATGTGCATACTTGCACTACAAGATACCACATCCTCAATCTGCACAGGCTCCATTAACAGCCAGCAACCAGCAATGTTTACCATCTCTGAGGAGCAAAATAGCTGCCTATTTTCTCTGAAATTAACAACATTAGAGTAAAGATTGAACTTCCATTAGCTGCCTACTTTGCATATTTCAACTGGTGGGTGATCTTTGATTAAGCTGAAATGAAATATTGATCCATTGCTATTCGTTGCTCTTCTTTAGGGTTTAAGATTCAAGAAGGCTCACGTCACGCACCCTGAGGTGAGATCCTGAATTTTACATGGTTTGAAGTTTCACCAATTGACTCATGCTAAAATTACAGTGAATGTAAACCAATTAGCTATGACCTGTGGAAGAAATTCTTGGTTCATACTCAATTTTGCATCTTATTCAACTTGGTCTTTGAGATAATTTACTACGTTTATTACATACTTTTGTTACTTTTCAGTTAAAAGCAACATTTTGTCTTCCTATTATTGGAGTGAAAAAGAATCCCCAGTCACCAATGTACACACAACTAGGAGTCATAACAAAAGGAACTGTTGTTGAGGTAAGAATTGTAAAGGTCCTTTCCTAAAGCAGGTTTTCTTTGTCTGACAGTGATAGATAGCAAATTGTAAGAGTAATTTTAAGGACCCTGATAAAATTCATGTTACAATATTTTTCTAAAAGATGTTGTGGCCAGATTGGTTCATACAGTGGACTCTAAGTCAAGAGGTCTGGGTTCAAGACCTGGCCAGGTCATTGTATTGTGTTCTTGGCCAAAACACTTTCCTCCCACAGTGCCTCTCTCCACCCGTCGTTATTAACTGACTTCCCATTCTGTTGGGAGGAAAAATACTTCTTAGTCACTTCATGCTAAGGAAACTGGGATGAGCTGCCACTGGGTGGGCACCTGGGACAGATGTTTTATATCGACTGTTCAGCTTTTTGAATGATTCTATGAGCCCACATGGTGTACAGCGGTCATGTTTATTACCATGTACTCTCATCAATATAATCTGGGTTATTGGACCTGCCATCTTGTGTGTGTTCTGTCTTTTAACTTTTCTAACCCGAAAGATGACAGTTGGTGCTTTGCTGGGATAATGATAATGACATTGTAATCTGGGTAATTTTGAGGACTTTGTCAAAATGATTATTAAGATATGTACAGGTTGTATGTCTAAACAAACTCATTCTCAAATGGATAACAAAATTTTAACAAAGCTATTTTATGCCCCAACCACTAAGTATAGTTGATTAAGAAAAATATACAAAGTATCTTTGTTGTGTATTTTGATGAGTTGAAGATAATTACCAAATTTACATCCTTTCTGCTCAGGTCAATGTTAGTGAACTTGGCTTAGTAACGCAAGGAGGCAAGGTTGTATGGGGTAAGCCTACATGTAATGTAATATTACATTTTCTAGAAATACTTTCCATCACCTGTCAGAAAAATACAAGACAATAAGGGATTTCAGAGGTCAATTAGAAAACTGAGAAGCTATATTCATCAAATGCCCCAAGTTACCCAAATGGTTAAAGCTGAATACCTTCATTTGTAACAAACCCTTGATTGCATAAACCCAGATTGAACAAAGGCAAAGTATTTAACAATGATATATGGCATGGGTTATGTTTTCTTTTGCTGTGGCACCTCTTTTCTAGTTGGGACTTGTCAAAGACATAAACTAATACATAAAATTTGGAGCATTTTTTAAATTCATTCTGAAAAACTCACCCAGCTGGCAATGTATAGTGGATCATTGTAGACAAATGAAGGAGTGGAAAGTGACAAACAGCACTTGTGGTTGTCAGGGAATTAACTGCATCTTTTTCAATCTTTTTCTATGATCCAAGAGCCTGATACAGGCTAAATCTGTGGTACATGGAGAAACAATTTGAATTGTTTTTAAAAGGGGTTTTGAGCGACATATTTAAAATTTAGTGGTCTTAACCAGTTGGCCAGGGTGCATCCACAACATCTTAACATGAAAAGTTTTTGTAATTGGGTGTCTGAAAAGAGATTTATATACCACCTTATTGCATCAAACTCTCACATTTAGTATTATGAGTGTTTGTAATTCAATTTTGAGATGTCGAGTGCTTCAGATTGTTTAACTATACGTTCTCTTTGTTATTATTTTTTTTTAGGTAAATATGCTCAAGTTACAAACAATCCGGAAAATGATGGTTGTATCAATGCTGTATTACTGGTTTAATGACTGGAAACTGTTAGGACAAACTTGTAAATAAATGCTTTTGACCTTATTCATGAGTTACGTGTCGTTCTTATATCAACTGTTCGCATGAATGGCCTGGAGAGGGTATTATAACAGTATAATTTGGATGAAACTATCAGAAAAGGCCACTTAACAATGCAACTGTTACCATAACCCTAAGTATGCAAATAGTTGCAAAGCCTCCCTCGCTTTTCCACTCCACCGCCATTATCACACCGTTTAGTATAGCGCTTCGTTTTACTAACTGAACGCCTGGAATGCCATGGCAAGCAGGCTGCAATCTACTCGAACACTCTGAATCTGTGTGGGAGGCAGATCGACCACAAGGTTTTTTTTCCTTTTTTATTTATTTTTTTTATTTTGTGCTCTTCTACTTGCGCAAGCCTCGTCTCTCGCACTTCCTTCACGCTTGCCTAAAAAACAAAAAATGGCGCCGTGTGCCACACTCTGCGGCCGTCTTAGCAGGGTAACTGAGTGGCCAGTCATAAGTTAGGGCGGTACTTCGAACAACCTTTCCGTCTTGTCTCCATCTTATCTCCGTCTGATTCTGTTCGCTTTGCTTATTGTAGCTGTATGCAGGACGCGTGTGTCATATACACCTTGTAAAACCGTTGCTCATCATTTTCATAGCATTGGAGCGCGAATTCCGAAGGTTTGACGTTCGATTCCTCGTGAAGACTCAGAATTATATTTTTCTTTGTCCCACAATCGAGACAAGAAAAATGAACGTGTTCCTCCATAGCTTCTACATATATTTCACCTATTTTTTTGTGTAGCTCTTATCATTCTTAACTCCAAGGACTACTGCAGCTACAAGGACAAGTAGAATTTTAGCAGAATACTATTTGAGAATTCAGTATATTCGCCTTTGGGTTCGGGAGCCACCCCAGGTCTTCATCTTTCCACTCCTCTGGACTTGCACTTTCACTTGTTCCCGCACCCGATGTGCCATCAACAGAGTCAGAGGAGTAGCGAGTCGGCAAACAGCCACAATAGCCACGAGTTTTTTTTTTGTTTTTTTTTGTTTTTTTTTGTTTTTTTTAACATTTTTTTTATTTTCACTTAAAGCACAAATACTAGAGTAATACAAACAAATACAAAGTTAATTACACTAACGCTTACGCTACTCACTAACACTAATTACGAAATACTACATTACATTACATTCACAGTCGGCTAGATTTAATTTATGTTGTGGTTATATAATAATATAAGCCTAATTTGTACAAATACTTCTACATCAAATTCCTTTTTGGTAGAACGACTGTATATACAACTGCGTCTATAACTGTTAATACCCGATACTCATCTATTGAGTTAAATAACATGTTTTCCCATTTTTTTATAATGAATAGATTCTTTTTATTCTTTTTGCAATCAAAAATTCAAATTTCCGAGTTTCAGATGTTTTAGCCTTCAGTAAGGATACAGACGGCTTGATATTTTTACAACGACATGAATAAATGGTATATTTTCCAAGAATGATTATGTGATTTAACAAACAATTCCCAGGGTTATTATCGGAAATACCAAAGAGGATTGTTACCTCATCAAGCTTATCAATTTTCATATTGTAAGTATTTAACCAAGAAATAACCGAAAGCCAAAAGTTTTTAGTGTAGGTACAGCTGATTAGAAGATGCTCAAGAGTTTCTTCGTGATCTCCACAAAAGGTACACATCGGAGAAGGAACCAAATTCATTTTATATAGGATTTTATTGGTGTAGAGAATACGATTTAAGATTTTGTATTGAAAGGCTCTCGTTCTGGTGTCAAGAGTGACTCGACCCGACACGAGTTGCTCCATCTGATCTCATGAAATCCTCGCATTCACCACAAGCGCATTTCCCTCTTTCTATTCCTCGTACATCCTGTACCCTTTTTCTAAACACATTGCCCATTTTCAAGTTTTCACCATGCAATCACACGCCACCCAATTAAGTGCTATGTGCGCAGACGCGGTTATGTGAGTAACTCTTCCGGCTAGTTATTTTCACTTCCGGTTATTTTTGTTTTGGAGGAGGTGGGGGTAGGGTCAGATGTTTTTGTGTAAGCATTTGTGAAGGGTCATGCATTAATCCATTCTGGGAAATGGGAGGGCCACGACTTTTTCGCAAAAAATTTCTAAAATACCCCGACTCACCCCCCATAAAAAAACCTTCCCTTAGGATGAGTCAGTCAGTCTTCTAGTTTACGCATCCTGATACAATCTTGTCGTGTGCACCCTGAAACTAGGGGTTCAACAAAAAGAACCTGTGCTATTCCAGATACGAAAAACCACTGAAAAACTCTCTTTAGATATGGCCAAAAAATGTGTGGAAACGTATATGTCATTGAATGCAGCAGCACAATACCCCGAGTAAAGGGTAAAATAACCTGGTTTCACTACTAATCACAAAGAAAATCAATGATTGTAATGATGTTTTACAGAGAGTTGGAATACCAGAATTGCAACAGATACAAAAAAGAGGGCGGTGAAACATAAGACTGACCGACCTAGAATGACTTAATTTTCCGAAACTTCCATGACGCCACGCGAACCTCTTCAACGGGCCATCAGAATATTAATTTCTTACTAATTCGTTTCCATGTCACTCAAACGTCACAAATTACATTATTCATTACTGAGATCTACTTCTTTTACTGACATCGGTCTTTCAAATTAGCTCACTTCGAGCGTTAGAGTAATTTCCTGATCACATGTTAGTTCCTAAAATTCAGCGGCCGTGAATTTTTTCCTCTTGTCGCATGCAATCCGTCACACACAATGCCTTTGATTGAGCCCGATTCTTAATTAGCTAGCTGAGCGTGCAAACAGAACTCCGCGCCAAATCTGTGACGTACCAGCCTATTATTGGCCGCAGTTGTTAATCCATATTCATCAGAAGTTGTAGAATTTTTAGCAAACCACACTGTCCGTGAAGGAGCGAAGACGTGCCGTTCGTTGTGCTAAACATGAAGTTTAGATCTGGAAGGAAGAAGACCTTAGACCTGGAAAGAAGACCAACAAAAGCACTTTTACGTCATAACAACAGTAGGTGAGCATTACCTTTGGAAAATGTTGCTTCCATGGGAAATCCAAACGAGACATATCTCACTTAAATGACGTAATACGAATAGTTTGCTCTGTCTGAGCGACTCTTCATATCTCGAAATTCGACTAAATTAGGGTGTTGGCTTCGAGAAAAGCAAGACCTATGACAGTAAAACATTTTTAGCGAAACGCTCCAACAAAAATGTTTTGCTTGATAAATCTTTGACGACTTTATTCATTTTGGATTTGAATGCAGCCACGTGGAGGTCTAAGGGGTCCCTACTCAGTGGTCTTTGCTTCATTGTAAATAACGTTTTAAAAAAGGTTTTGATGTTTTCCCTTTTTCTATAATTGTGTCAAAGAGCAAAACTCCTAGAAAAACTTTTAATCTTTAATTTTCGTCCTCTAGAAAAGTAAGCATTTACTTATCACATGCACATTTTCTACTTTCAGGAAGAGAAATTTTTTGAGAAGAATGGAAGAACAAAGATTTTGGTCAAGACACTGAAATCAAAGAAATGTTCCGTGGATACTGCAAAGATAAGAACTTTAAAATTATTTAGTAATACTGGCAAAAATGGTGGCCCTTTATCTTTCTAATTATTGTGCGAAGTCTTCGTTCCTTCACCAATTGTCTTGGAACCGATAAAACTGATTATATGGTGAGTGAATAGTTGTCAATTAGCCATCATTTTTGAAATAGTTTGTGTTACTGATTGTTAAACAGACCCTGAGTGATCATTTAATTTATTTGAACTACCAGTTGCAATTTGGTGTAATGTATCTAAAATGATCTATTACACCCAATTTAAGGCAGAAACAACTGGAAACTGATATAATACTGACAACAAAATGCTGACTTTTAAACGATAAATTTCTAAGCTCTGATCGCTCATTTTGTTTAACAGTTCGTTTCACAGTTAAATCCTAGTTGATGTCACATAAAGGTGATATTGAGGTAGTACTTCAACAAATTACCTCGGCCGGACAAAAACCAAATGGAATTCAAAATTAAAATCTTTTGACAAGCTCTATTGATTTTACAAATTTTCTCTACGTCAAAAATCACATCGCTCAACACTATCGACGTACATTATCTTCAAAAATCAAGTTTTCTAAGTTAGAGAAGACTCCTCAAAACAGATGAAAACAACTATCGGCTACAAACGACTTGAAAAAACCAACACGTCACCAACGAATCAAACAGAATAAAATAACTTTAAATACTGATCAAAACCGACTAATCAATTAACGGACCAACACCATTTGATTCTGAAACCGCTTTTCTGCAGACCAGACAAATCACTTTTACAAACCCAAGTTTTAACGTTCGACTTGTAAATAATTGTTCCACTCGACTCTGACGACTTCTGCTCAGGCCATTCACTAGTTTCGACAAACCTTCTCGTAGCTTCTCTCTTTCGGAAGATCGTACCTAACGACCGACAACTAAATAATACCAAGAGAAAAGTTGGCCAAAAACATATCCATTCAATTAAAAATTCATTTTTGGCTTGAACTGAATTAAACAGGAAATTTAGGAATCTTATTCAAAAAAGGAAGGATTTGCTTTTCATATACGAAGCAAGAATTTAACGGAGTGCCATCTTCAATTATATCCTTTACTTTGTGCTATCATCTGGGTTTGTTTCCGTTTGTAAGTAATATATGTTTTAAAACTCTAATGCCTGGTCACGAGCTCTTCCATGAAACTGACCGCTATATAAACCATTTTAAATTGACTCCTTTCCATAACGAAGAAATGCAGATTTTCGTATTTCAAAGAAGAGTTTGATCAATAGAAATTAAGATGGTTAACTGTTTCACAAATTGTTCAATTGTTTAAAGATCAGACGAAAATAAACTTGAATATACGAGCAAATCTTTTGACCAGTAAAAAATAAAAAAGTATATTGGCAACGATTCGTTTTAATGAAAAACCATT